AGTATATCATTAATCACGTTGTAATGCCTCCTTTGTTTTTTGCATGTGTTTGAGTGAGCAGCTAATGTTGAATGAGCTCCTTGTTCAGTTGTTTATTAGCATGTATTCCCAGCGAAGATGGGATCCCAGCTGAGGCAAAATGACACCCATCATTTACAGTCATCCCTGGTTTGGAGGGTCTGCTGGTGATTATTTAGTTTTCAGATAAAAAGAGCTTGTTCCCAAAGTTCCCACTGAAACCTACAGCAAATTCTCCAAGTTAAAAGACAACCATCTGTGTGCCGGGTCTGATTACTGCTGTTGGTTTGTCTTCCATAAAATGTGTATTTGTGTGAGGAGGTATGTAGGAAGCTGAGGATGTGATGTATGTACACATGTCGACTGTCCCACTGGAGGGTGCTGCTGTGGTGTGAACAGACACTGTGGTTAATGGTTATACAGCGTAGGACCACCAGCCATGATCTCCCATAAGGCGGTAGGCAGGATATACTGAGACTGACTCATCAAGTCACATGTGTTTATTTAATGGAATAAAAAATATGGAACAAACCGGTAGCTAGAAAACCACGTTTCCTTCCACATCGCTAAAAGACAACCGCAGACCCTTACACACTCAGACTGTACTGTTAGTCTGCCTAACTTCTGTGATGATGGATGGAGGATGACACATAACTCACATATACTCAGACACATGCACACAAACAAAAGGTAGATGTATGGAAAACACTTGATTCAGCCACTGACTGAAACAGCTTCTACTATCTGAATAACCAAAGCTACACTGATTATGTTTAACATAAATCTGAGGAGGGGAAATAATCATGTGGATCACACGCATTAATCTGAGTTGAAACAAAAAGAAACCACTTAATGTAACTTAAACAAAAACGTAGCAAAGTTCAAAGGGTGACCCAAACCGGGCTGCAACAAGTGATGTATATATTTCATAAGGAGAACTTAGTATGTTGTGCGTGTACATTTTATAGTGGATTATGACAATTTGTTTTCACATCCCTACACCGACAGAAACACATAAATACATTAGAGGAAAAACTGTACAAAACCGTTAATCTGTATTTCATTATACAATCTTGTGTTGGGAATCACAATAAAACAATCAACAGGCAAAATGACAACAATATGAAAATACTCCAGTCCAAGTCGTATTACTTGAATGGTGGTAAATAATATTTAGTTTAATATATGTATGTAAGTATCAAAATGATCAAAAGTCATGAGGAATGGTTTCTTTCAAGATATAATTGTGGATGTATTAATGTACACACACACACACACACACACACACACACACACACACACACACACACACACACACACACACACAAAATGCCTGTGGAGTTTTTTTTGTCCTGAACCTGCTGCCAGGGGGAAGACAATGGGTCCTCACTCTGACCATTGGTATGAAACATTATTAGGACATAACCTTACAGAAAACCAAAGGTTATTTTGCAGATATTTTGGGACACATTTCTGGTGAGACAGCTGGATGATAAATTTTTTTTTTTTTTTAGTTTTATCGGTGAGGAACAGGGAAAATATAATTTAAAGATCAATGATTTGCACTATGCTACTATCTATGCGCTATACTGACTCCCAGTGGAGACATTATTTAGTGCACACATTTTACTCCAGAACAGATGATCTGTAAAAAATACTTAAAGCAACACATTACGAAAATGTATTCCTAGCCATTTATTTAGTAAAATATTGAATGTCCCTATCATCCGATCTTGACTCATCATGAAGGTCTAGTGTAAAACAGCCCTGCGTTCAGAGCAGTCACAGGATGGAGTCGCCATGGAAACTCTTGAACCTGTGGTCACTATCAGAACCTTGGCTGAATTCTTTAAAGTCCAGTCTTTCCTTTACAACTGAGTGTGTTAGAATACCAATCAGGTCTCCCCTGTATCTGTTGACCTTCTCAAGCTGACTGGTCAAGAACAGTTACACGCTGAGACTTCAAACATTTGCTGGAAATTCCATTAATTTCTCAGCAGGACACCATCTCTTATGACCTTGTGCCGTACGCTCTTTGGTGTATGTCCATGAAAGGTTGCCGTGTTGTACAAGAAGCAACTGAAGGCCATTCATTCTTGAAACATTAAATTGTAGTGCTTTTATTTGGTGTTCAGTGGCTGCAAGACTGTGCTTTTTAATCCCATTAGTGAGCAATCATTTATTAAATGATCTGGCACAAAGAGCAACAATTATTTACTATACCACTTAGATGTCATCAAAAAAAAGTTAAGTTAAAAGGTTTACATGCAGGCTTCAGAGTGGGCACTTAATATAGACTCATATTCTGGGCACATAAATACTGTTATTATGTAGTATGCATAATTTGCTTCTCTTCTGCTGCTGTGCAGTGTAAGAGAGAGAATTTACTAAATAAACATTTTTGTTATTTAACATACAACACAAACACAAACTGTCCCATGTTTTAACATGCATGGCATTTAAATGTGCAACACTGAGGCCATCTACAGGAAGGGAGAGAACAGACTGTGCTTCTTGAGGAAGCGTGGATCTTTTGTGTGCGGCAAGATGTTGCAAAGTTTTGCCTGTTGCGGCAAGTACAATATTTACAAGTACAATATTTTTTGCTTCAGGCCATATGACTTCCTCATATAACAAGGACAAACTGTCCATGTGTGTTGATTATTTAAAGGACCAGTGTGTAGGATTTAGTGGCATCGAGCTGTGCATGTCGGAGAAACTACAGCGGCCTTGAAAAGCCCTACCCATAGACAGTGTGTGTGTTTTTTACGTTCTGGGCTACTTTAGAAATATGGCAGTTCCACATGTAGACATGTTATCTGTAGATAAAAACTTGTCTTTCTAAGGCAACAAAATCATAATGATATATATTTTCAGCTAATTATGCACTAATGGAAACATACCTTTATATATTATATTCCATTTCTGCCAATAGATCCTCCTGAAAGTTACACACCGGATCTTTCAAAATTCATCATATCTCTAATATTACTGATTCATCTGCCGGTAATCTTTCCAATCCTGTCTGTTCTTCTTTTGGAAAGTACCTGCTCTAACACTGGAATTTCCCTTTCTCATGGCTTTCCCCTATACATGATAGGAAACTATAAAATTGAATAGTCATTTTTAATAATAAAAACTGGGTATAAATATTGGTGATCCTGATTTTGTGGCGTCGCCTAACCTACAGTGCAGGGAAGCTTGGCTGTATGGTTCCTGAGCTGATTGTTGCCCACAGTGGGAACCAGCAGGTAAAGACATGATCCAGGCATGTGATGACTAAGCTCTCAATAACTGACTATCAACTCATCAGACATGGGAAACGAAAAGAAAGACCTCAACTAACCGTCACTATCAAACCCGCACGCAATTATTTAACCATGCAGAGTGTTAAGCGATGCTTTGGCTTGCATTAAAGTAAATAAATGATATGAATTATGAGTAGCAGTTACAGGTGCAATATGGCCTGTATATGCCGAAGGTGACAGAAGGCATATAGTGTGAGACAGTGAGGGAGTAACAGCAAGGGTGCTCCTGTTACATAGAAGATTAACATAAAAACCAACCAACTGTTTCCAACTTGTTATAATACTTGACCACAGAGTGGCCCAGTTTGGTTTCTGCTGTACTTCAGCAGGGAACTGGACTACCTTTCTCACGAAACATGCAGCTTTCCAGCAGAGGTCCTCTCTGCAACAGTTTAGCATAGTCTTTATGACAACTGGTTAATATGCTAAAATTTAATAGCTCTTTAGCCAGTATCATAAAATGACCCAGTTCAGAAATGCCCTTGTTTAGCTCCAAAACACAAGAAAACACTTAATAACGTATCTGTAACTGACATAAGACTTTTACTTCCAGTAAAATCCAATACCGAGCAAACTGAAGGCAACATCAATTCAAAGTATTACACAATTACTAGTCTTTGTATAGGCAAAACCTAAAGGCCTGAAAATGATGTCAGGATTATACATGTATAACGATGTTAAGTGTGAAGAGGATGAAGTCTGAAGTTATGGTGGAATTCTGACTATATCATCGTTTTTACAAGGGCTGGAATAATGCAATACATTACAATAGTCCTGCAATGAATACCTTAAGATGATGGATATTTGTAGAGAAATGTGCTGAAGAGACGCAAGGTTTATTGGATATAATATTAGAAAATCGGTACAATGTCCAATATAACACCACCATAAACTAAAGCCACAGAAATTATCACATGTAACACTGAATCAACACCTCTGACAGTTTAACCTAAAAAAAACATACTTAACGTTGTTTTATCAACTTGATGCCTCAGACCTAATTTCATGAGAAGTAATTACAGTATACAGTAATTACAGTCTCTCTGGTCTAACTGACCTCAAAAACAAGTCATGTCTCTATATAGCATCACATACAGTGCATTTCTGTGTCTGTGAATGATATATGATATGATATATACACTCAGTAGCCACTTTATTAGAAAGACCTGTAAAATATAATACAGTAAAATACATCTACTTTACTTTTATGATGCCTATAATGATACATTTTTCTTGACGCTGTCATAGAGGTGTTATTATTATATATGTCATAGCATTGAGGTCATAGTTAGTGGTGGTGTTTTAGAGTTGTTTTTACATATTCTGCCCCCTTGTGTATGTAACTAGGGAGGACCAAACTAAGAAATACCTCTCATTATATTGAGGGGTATTTACTACAATGTCAGCAAAAATGGAACATTATAAACTTTGTAAAGGTAGAATTTGTGGCAGAGCTACACAGGTAGAGGTGTACCTGATAGTCGCCACTGAGTGCATTTGTTGCATAATAAATACAAACAACACATAAAACATACAATATTTCCCTATTAATGATGCTTTATGGTCATTTCTGTATGTCATCTTCACATCAAATGTGCAAACCCAGTTTGTGGCAAAGTGAGAGGTCACTACTTCCATACATTGGGTTTTAATAAGGTCAAACACAAAGAAAAACATTTGAACAAAAGAAAATTTTTTATTTTGTTGTTTACACATACAACATTGAGGTCTGTGGGACTCCAAACAATGAGGAAGTAAAGCCAACATCCACAAACCACGAGGGTTAAAAATGTTATAGCTATATAATAATAGCATAACTATTTTGTACTTTGAAGGGAACTTATAAGAATGTCCCTCAGGGGAACATTTTGATAAGCAAGCCTGCCGCTGTGAATAAACTGGAGTTCCCCTCGTGCAAATGTGTCATAAAAATACAGATAGGGTATGTAAGAACAAAAGACTGAGGCAGAGGGTGTGTATGGGAGAGAATGTGGACAATTTCAGCATGAGTGACTATCTGGCTACTTCTCCAAATATTACACTTTCTTACACTCTTGTGGACGTCTGCCTTCAGTCTGCACATGGAGATGTAGAATCACAGTCTCTCTCATACATGCGTGTGCACGCACACACACACACACACACACACACACACACACACACACACACACACACACACACACACACACACACACACACACACACACACACACACACACACACACACACACACACACACACAGCGGCCCATCCATCCAGAATAAAAATCTCTGAATCATTCGACATATTACTCACAGGCTACAGGCTAAAAATTGTGTTTGTTGCTACATGTTACTATTGGTTACTCTGACAGTTGCATCACATCCAAGCTCTTTTCCAAGTGGGGGTGTATTCTAGAACAATAAAAAGTGAATATTTCTTCCCATTAATGTACTGCTTGGCTATTCTGACAAGTCCAGCTAAAGCCCGGGCGTATTGTGTGATGCGTGCCACCCAGTCATTAATCAGACCCAATCAACTTCTCTCTTTACAGTCCTGCTTTAATAACTCTGTATTGGGTTGCCTTTAAAACATCCAAGGGCATAAGTCTCTTCTGCAAGATTTGGGTGTACAGAAAAGAGGCTCGCAGCTGAAAGGACAACACATGGAATAATAAATGGTGGGTGTGTAAAGGTTAAGCGAGCTCACATAGATCTGCATGCTTTATAAAACAGCTGAGTTCCAGGAACACACAGGAATCATTGCATAAGTCCCAGAGAATGACCAACAACACAGTGATTAGGTTGATTTTACTGCTATTATTCACCACAGATGGAAAGTATCAGTTCATATTTATTTAAGCATTGTGCTTCTGGTTTGTAAGACATACTTTTATTTGTATACATTATAGAGAAGAGTGTAATTTAAAACAACAACAACAACAACAACAGCTTTTACTCATTTTACCCATCAAAGTGTTTAAAGACAAAATATGATTTTATTAAGTAATCCTGAAGGAAACGTTTATGGCCATGACACTGATAGTACAATAAAAAGACCATACTTTGTATATATACACACACAATATAGGCCTACCATATATTTATATACTATAAATATCAATTGGTTTGACAACATCTTGCCTGCCAAAGGACTGCAGTTGGAAAATTTGCTGGCAGGCAAACAGTATTTATTTAATGTCTTTATAAATTACATTAAATAAACATACACAGGAAATATCATATACATACTAAAATAAAATAGAATAAAATAAAAGATTAAAAAAAGAAATAGTGGTGTAATGTACAAATGAGGGTGCAACATTTGGATTCAGTTTTTCAGTTTACAAGCAGCATGTGTGTCGTTATATTATTTGTCATTGTTCATAATATATATACTATGTGAAATCCTCCAATCAGTAAGGGTGTATCTTATTTCATTAAAAAAAAATGATGAGCTTAAACATATACAGTACGAAAAGAGAATGAAAAAAGAAGAGAGAAGGAACAGAAACACAGACGTGTGTGTGTGTGTGTGTGGTATGTATTTTGTCTGGATTTATACATACAGTTTTTATAATTTGCTTCTGTATAATGACATTTGATTCACAAAACCCAGCGCCACTTACAACATGCAAATACTGCTCAATAATTTAACACTGTGAAATAGGATTGGAACAACAGGCCATTTTTCACAGCAGACATGCAGAGACATGTCATAGCAGGAAAAGCACAGGTGTTACTGATAACACCAACAATGGCTCTGTTCTATCCAACATGTCCCAGTAAACATGACAGTGAGCCAGCACGCACAATACCAGGACCCTGAAGCAGCTACATGGAATTGAACCGTCAATAATGTCATTATTTGTACCTGTGATTATCTTACTGTGATGTCAAAATGTCTTGAAAAAGGTCTGTCCTCACAATGACAACCTCTAACTTTTAAAACTTAAGTGGGCAACTGTATACAAATCTTCTCCATTGTGAGTAATTGATTTAATTAATTAATTAATTTATTTTCCTTCTGATATTCACAAGAAGTGCTTAATGTGAAAATGCCTAAGTTTACGAATAGATCAGGGATGAAGAATGAGATTTTCATTCTGAGGATAAAGTCAAAAACATTTTGAGAGAAAAATGTGTAATATTATGAAAAAGTCTGAATTACAAGAAACTCTTACTAGCCGAATAAGCCACGTGGACGCCCTGAAGTTATTGTTTGATCAGAAAGAACCTAATTATTATAGATAATTCAGAACAGTGAAATTAAATGAGAAAAGAAATAGACTCAAACATGAGGGGACCAACAACCTTTCTCATGCAATAGCCTTCTATACATTTATTATCTAAAATGTATTTTAGTTCTGTAATATTACAACTTATTATAAAAATATTACTTATTATAATTTAATTTTGGGAAAAACATTTACTCTCAGATCTCAGATCCCCCCACTTGGGGGACTCGGGTATTGCCCAGTTCCAGATACAGGAGGAGGAGCTTCATTGGAGGAAGTAGCTCCACAGCTTGGATGTGTGTGTGTGTGTGTGTGTGTGTGTGTGTGTGTGTGTGTGTGTATGTGTGTGTGTGTGTGTATGTGTGTGTGGAGCAGTTACCTCCATAGTGAGAGTGTCGCTAACCACTGGATTGTTAAAACGACAAGCGGAAAGATATCCTCGCGAGGGAACCACACGCGGACACGCTCTCGAGGAGTTTAGTGTTTGCCTCCCCGACCTCCCTCCCTCGGTACAGGTTGAAGCGGTGCCTGAGCCGGTCCAGAAGCGAGCATTATGCATTCAGACTGCAGGCTGCTATGGGCAGAGCGGTAATGGTGGGCAGGGGACCGACAGGGGCCGGGGTTCTCGTCCTGTCGATTCTCATCATTCTCACCACGGAAGGCTGTCGAGCGCAGAAAGGTTGGTGCCAACACAGCTGCGGTGACAACTGGAGGGGCCGAGTGTGACCGCGGCGACATGCGGCCATGCTGGTTTAAAGTGTGAACACGGGAGTTTTAGGTGTTTATAAGATAAGCCTTTAAGGCACGGTGCATTGTTATTGTCCGCGAAACTTAACCTACCTTACATGGCCGTGTGTACGTGGAGTTCCGCTTGGTTTACGCCGCTTGCCGCCGCCCGTCATGGTGTGTGTGTGTGTGTGTGTGTGTGTGGACGGTTCAGTAAAACCAGGCAAACCGGTTCTTTAAAAAAAACAGAGATTATAAAGGAATAACTGCTGCTTGGTGGATCAGTTGGTTTCTGAATTAACATGTGGCTTTAACTGGTTTGTTTAAAGTTAAAAGTTACCATCTTTTACTCAATTGTGTTTCACGATAAGCGAGCTACCTTTAAATTAGCAGCTTTTTAAATGGAGTCTGGGTTTAAGTTGTCTGTGTACGAGACAACAGCACACTTGGGAGCTTGTGGCCTTGTTTCTTGTTCCAGGTAGCCCAGTTTCAAATTTACCGTGAACCCACTACTACAACCACGGCTAACTCAATATGTTTTGATTGCTTTGGGTTTACTTTACACCATATCGTACCTAAATACGAATATTTGGTAGGTTTTTAGAGCTTACAGTCAACCTCAGGTGGTCAGACATTGGGGGTGGGGTAGCAGTGGGGGTATGAGTGTAAACACGTGGACACAGTTTGTCATAATTGTAAATTTCACAGGAGTTTTTCACATGAATTATCTAGTGGTATTTGTCCTCTCAGTAGGTAGATCTGATGATAAAACCATGGGCTTGATATCTGATTGAATTACACTGTATTCTGGTTTGTTTTTGAGCATGAGGGGTAACTTCAGGAAGGTAATCTGAACTCCTCCTGAATGCCATGCAGTTGTTCAGCATTTGTGAGTCAGAGTGAGGAGAGCAGCTTTGTTTTTGTCCTGTTCATCTGGATAGTGTCCACTGAGAGGCTCTTACGTAACTCCAGAACATCCACTTAGCACCATGAAGCGTGACTGTTGAGTGTTATCTCAGAGCCCTGAGTCCACCAATGCATCAACAGACACAATGTGTCTGCTTTCTGACAGCTCAGAAGACACACAAACCTCTCCTTTAAAAAAAAAAAAAAAAAAAAAAAAAGCTGAGCTCATAACTTTTGTTTAATTGATTTCAAGATTCATTAAATTTGTCTTAAATGTTAAGTGTGGGGTTTTAACTGCAGAAAAAACAATTAAAATTTGATTCTGCTTCTTAGATTTTATGTTTTGGTCAGAACAGCCAAAAGTTGTGTCTATAAAACCAAAAGCCAACTTCTCTGCTGAATCTAATTACATTGGGTTCATTTTGACCGATTTTATTTTATTCAAAATACGGCTGCAACTAACTATCACTTTTATTATCGATTAATCTGCCAGTTATTTTCTCGATTAACAGTCCCATTACATACCTAAAGCTATTAAGTTTACTATCACATGACAAACTAAAGCTGCAATGTCTCACGTTTGAGAAACTGCAGCTAAAGACTATTTAGTATTTTCTTACTAACTTCAATAAATTATAAAAATAGTCGTCGATAAACAGGGTTTCTTTTGATCGACTAATTGTATCATTGACTGATTTATGACTGAATTTATGACTTACCGCCTCAGATATCCCTTACATTTTAGAGATGAAAAGCCAAGTGCATATTTATAGTGCACTTACTTGTACTAACCTGCAGACACGTAAACAAATCCCCAAACATACAAAGCCGTGTGAAAGAAAAAGGCCAACTCCCATTCTGTGTGTGCTAAAGGGAACTAGTGTCACTAATGTAACATTTATAGATACTAGAACAAGCATATATGCTCCAAGGTAGATTCCTCTCAATAGTGTGGAGACCCCCAGTTTAAAAATAGAAGGATTTGTTGACGTGAAAAATTAAGAATAGCACTAGCCTTATAATTAAACCCTCTTGATATCTGCACTACATTTGAATGAAAGGGTAATGAACAGCATGTTTACCAGTTTACATAATTTTTCGTGCAACTTTGTCTCATAAATTCTGATTTTAAACAAAACTCTTGTTGTCTTTCCAGCTTTCTCTCCGTCTGTGCTTTATTACTGGCATCCTTTTGTGTGTGTGTGTGCTGAAGCTGTGTGTTTGTGTTGTTCTGCAGGTGATGGCTGTGGCCCCAGTGTACTTGGCCCCAGTAGTGGGACTCTGTCCTCTCTGGGTTACCCGGGGACGTACCCAAACAACACGGTGTGTGAGTGGGAAATCAGTGTGCCCCGAGGCAACAGGATCCACTTTCGTTTTGCTGAGCTGGACATAGAAGACAGCGACTGCCAGGTCAACTACCTCCGCCTCTACAACGGCATTGGGCCCGAGAGGAGTGAGATTGGTGAGAGTGACAAGCAGATACTAGACTGGACTTGGACTGATTTAGTTCTTATCAAAAATGAAAATGTTTAGATACATCAGACTACCCGTACACAGCGAGGACGTTCTTCTACTATTGCACCACAACTTCTCTTTGTGCTGTCAGATAGCTTCGTAAATCCCCCCCCCACACACACACCTTTCCGACTTTAGAAAGAGGGTTGTGGCCGTGCCCAAACTTTTCTGTAATTTTTAAAAACAGACATTCACACACATCGTGTTGTAATTGGCCGAACTGCCAGGAAGTGAGAACGGAGCCAGGGTTTGAATTCTCTCTCTTTTTTTAAAGTCCCTTTTCATGTGAACAATCAAGAACAATTAAAGCCCAACAGGAGACACTTTCTGAAAATGTGTGCTACCGTCATATTTAAACAATACCACCTCTAACCCCTCTCTGTGATGACTGGCTTTTCACGCCTCCTTCAAATGTGGCCGTTTAGAACAACTATAAACGCATTTGCCTTCCGACAAGGTCAGACAAACATGTATGACAAAAACCTGGCTCTTGGCTCTCCCCCAATCTGTGTGCATGTCATCAGTTCCCCCGCTGTCTATGTTTATATGCCCAGAAGAAATCAGGTTATGTCAGGAAATTGGAGAACATATTAACATGTGCTGCAGGAACCTTTCCTGTGAAACCTGCACTACATTGGAACATTTTAAATTTCATTAAAGATATATTAAATATATATACTGTGCAGCCTAAAGAGGTACTTACCAGATCTTTCCAAATAGCCTACCTTTAAGCTGTGTAAGCAGACTTATTTGGAATTTCATCATTAATATTATTGTTTTATTTTCAGTATTAATGCATTTTTAAGGTTACCTAATTGATTTTTTAGACTTGGCACTGCTTTTACTGCCATACTTTCTCTGTCTGAAGTATTTGTTTTTTTTTTTGATGACAAATAAGAACTCATATATAATACCAGGTTACTCAAGTTCTTGTAAATGCAGCGACTGACAATGCATCGGTCCCATGATAAGCCTACAGTCACAGTTGGTCTCATGCTGAGCTGCCGGCACACTTCCAAAGAGAGTCGCCGGTGATGGAAATTAAGCTAAATATTAGACCTATAGATGTACATATTAATACAAATAAACTGTAGATGAGGAATTTAATTGATAATAATTGATTGTATTTTCTTGATTGATTTTTATGGCAATGTGAAAAGGCTGGATTGGAACTTTAGGGAAAATCTCACGTCTGTTTAGTGTGATTTGAATAAATGAAACATAACACTTGCAAGTCTTGAAAAGTCTTAAAAAAACATTTTTAAAGCATTTTTAAAAACAAGATTTTAAGGAGTCTTAAAGCTCCAGTGTGTATTTAGGAGGATCTATTGATAATAATAACAATAACAATAATTGAATACAATAGTCATAGGTATGTTTTTACTGCTTTCTACAGTAACCCAGAATGGACAAACCAAACATTGCTTCTTGATGGGGCCTTTTGCAAATTTCATGGCCAATGTAATTTCTCCTTCGTGTTTGGTTGAGTTAAGGGATTTCATTTGGCTGCAGTCTACAACTTCACCACTAGAGGCCACTGAACCTTACATAGTGGACCTTTACATTTAATTTACAAAAGTCTTCCTAAATAGTTTCTCATTTTAGTTATAAAATGATTATGTATCCTACTGTAGACTGTCAGAGCATATGATATACTTATAAACTAATAGTGGGATGTTGTGAGAGTGGTTGTGCTGCAGGAGGCTGTTCAATCCATTTTCCTGGAGTTTCATTCAGCATCGTCCGTCCTGTAGCAAACAGCCTCACTTCTGCTGGCTACAGTAGATAGAAATCTCATTGACTCGTAATTGGCGAATGTTGATTTTTACCAAAACGTACAGGTTCAGCATGAAGGATTTAGTGACATTTAGAGATGTAGTTGCAGACCGCAACTCCCTCGCTTCACCCTCCTGTTCCAAGCGCGAAGGAGAAACGATAGTGGTTGCAGAACGCACAAAAACACGAGTGTCCCTATCTAGAGCTACAACTAGTCCCTACTGTAGCAACAAAAACATAAAGATTCCTATATTCAGGTGATTATACACTATTGAAAACATAACTATGAATATTATATTCCATTTCTGGTAATAGATCCTCCTAAATGTTACACACTGGACCTTTCATTGCTTTATTCATCCAGCCATCCATTTTATGCTACACTGGGTTCCGGTGGCTTTAATTTAATATTATTAGGAATTATTGTCACATACTAATCATCCATCATATAAAAAATTGATATAATAATAAATAATTCTCTGCCATATCGTCCTCACTGGTTTTCCATCATACTCTAATATTTTGTCCGGTTTGATCCTGAAACAAGTATTAAATTGCATTCTATGTAGTACTGAATAAGCCTGACACTGTAATCTGTCACCAGCTTCCCCAGCAATTGCATTGTGAAAATCTGTTAGCAGTTGTTAAAATAATTTTTAAGAAACTAAAATGTGCAAATCACAATTATACACAATTATATTATTTTTTATCGAGGAGTGTAGTCATTCAAATTTCTGCTGTGCCATCCTGTCCCAGAATATGTGAAAGGTGTAAAGCCAAGTTAGTTACACCAACAACAAAATACGGAACTAATATCTAATATAGTGCTTGTATGTTGTCATATGTTAAACTAAACAGGCTTAACTAACCAGAACCTCTTTGTCCCTCGTGTGTCTTGTCCTGTGGCTGCTCAACAGTGAAGTACTGCGGTTTGGGTCTGAAAATCAAAGCGCTGATCGAGTCCACTGGCAACCAGGTCACTGTCCAGTTCATGAGTGGGACCCACTACAGTGGACGTGGATTCTACCTGTCCTACTCCACCACTGAACACACAGGTAACACTCTCTCACCTCACTCACCTGTGTCTGTCTAATCTGTTGATCATCCCTAGGTCCCAGCCTGCAGGGAGGGGAGGTGGGGTCATGTGATAAAGGTGTAGCAGTCTGGAATGAGGTTGTCTTGAAGTCATCTCATTGTCAAGCGTGGTTACATTTCTGTTTTGGCCCTTGGCGTAAGAGTTGCTTTGGAGACTGTGTGTGTGTGTGTGTGTGTGTGTGTGTGTGTGTGTGTGTGTGTGTGTGTGTGTGTGTGTCAAAGTCTAATGTGAGTCTCATGACAGCTGTTTCATTCTGCACCACCTCCAAAGTTTTAACTGTTTTGAAGTAATTAGATTGTACTGGAACAACTTGTACACAGGTCAGATAATGTGTTGTGAACTGTCGCATCACTGTTGTGTGAAAACGTAATATCTCTCCATATATCAGCTTTGTATTCACTTAAAAACTTTCTGGCTCAACCACTCTGCAATTTTGGGTCTTCAGAAGTTTCATACTAAGTATTTGTAGGAATTCCTGAAGCTGTGTTTCATCCTGTGCTAGGGAGGTTTGTTTTTCTATGTTGAAACATGAAATTATGGAAATTGGAGCTCACAAATGTTTTGACACTGACACTACCATGATGATACTTATTCAGAAGAAAACACAACACAACATTTCATAAAACCCATGAACAGTCATTTAGAGCAGCATTTTATAAAACACAACAATATAGGAAATGTATCGATATTAAAGGTCTTTACGGGTCTGCTTTCAAATTATACTCTTTCAGGCCGGGTGAGGTCCAGTTGTAATTGCTTTGGGTCTTGGGGCTGTGTGTAATGTCTAATACACAAGTGGATCCGAGTGGACTCTGATCATGTGGAACATCATAATCATCACAGGAGAATTAGACAAAGAGTTAGGCTAACATGCTGATGTGTAGCAAGTATTTTTAACAATCTTAATTTGACTTGTTAGCATGCTAACATGTTCTTATTACTAGGACTAACTAAGTACAGCTAAGGCTGGTGGCAATGTTATTACTACTGCAGGTATTTGGTAATAAAACAAGTCTTGCACAAAGTCAAATTTGGATCCTGGCTGTGGCACTAGAATTAATCATCACCAAAGTCAGAAGGATGTACAAAATGTAACACCAATCCCTCTAATAGTTGTTGGGATAATTCAGTCTAAACAACAGTGGTGCACTGTCCATGTTACTGTTAACTGTGGCTTACCAAATGTGTTTTTTGAGGTGAGATGGAGAGTTTTTTGCATCTGTTTGGTTTAACTGTATGATTGAGTGTGTGTGTGTGTCTGTGTATATGATTGATTGCGTATAATTATTCTGTGCACATTTGGATTGGTGTCTTTTTAAAAACGACTTTGCACATGTTCGGTTTAAGTAGTGGATCTCTAAACAACGTTTCAGGAAACACAACATGAGTTTTATCAAATGGAACGGTAATTTCTGTTGTTAATGTGTCGCAGTGCTTCCATTTCAGGGCCGACGTATATTATTGGATGAAAGACAATTACGTACATTTCCCATTAGTCTGTAAGCAAACAGAGTCTGCAGCTCATAAAAAGAAAAAAAAGAGTAGCAGCTAAAGATGACTTGAGTTGAATGGGGAACTGTGTCTGCAGTTTTGCAGTAATGATATTTTAACACACAGAGGAGATAAGATCAGCCACATATCTGGAATTCCAGCTGCAGTGTGCAGGGTCGTCATACTAGTGGGCATCGGTCATCGTCTCAAATTATTGTTTTTTTTTTCCTCCCCCGTTTAATGCGAGAACAGACAGTACTGAATACAGACGTGTGTGTGTGTGTGTGTGTGTGTGTGTGTGCGCAAAAAGAATTCTCTACCCCTACTTAACAGTATTTCTCAGTGTGTGAGAGTCTGGGTTTTGTCACATTGCAGTTTTACAGCCCTTCATGTCTAAATGCAAAATGTGAATTGAGACTTTTTGCCGTGGCTGGTGTGGCAGAGAGGAGAATAAGGACAGGTCATTCAGTCAGACAGCATTTGAGAAGAGAACAGGAACTAGATGCAAGAGGAAGTGAGAGTAATTGAAAGTAATAATGTTTTCTGGTTTATTATAAGGCTTCCTTCTCTTATGTCATATCATATTAGTGGAAAAGGCTGCTAATAATCCTTCAGACATATCTCTTTAAGTTAATCTGATGGAAGTTTAGCTTGTTGGACTCATGACTGAGTCGACGCCCGAGCTGCTTATAACATTTTTGTACATAGCACAAGTCTAATTTGAATGCTATCAGATTAATTTAAAGTGTTTTTCATTCAAAACAGTGATTAAGAAAAATTTAAGTTCTTTGCAGGAGTCCTCTCATATCAGATTAGTCTACAAAAACTATTTTCCCCTCACGGTGTGACCATTGCAATTACAGTAATAATCAGACCAGCCACCTGCTTTATATTATCTTCACTTTTCACTTTAATTAAGATCTAGCAAAACGCTTAACAAAGCTTGTGCACTCTATAAATAAATAATAAATTAATACATTTACGAAGATATAGAATATGTAGCAAAAAATGCAAATCCTCACATTTGAGAAGCTGAAATAGGAGAATTTTGGCATTTTTCTAATTGTTAAATCACTGGTGCCGATAATCAAAGTTATCAAGTTGTTGTTTTTTTTTCTTTTTCTGCCAGTTGACTAATAGTTTTATTACTACAAGCATAATTTGCATACTTTCTGCAGATCCCTCTGCAACCAGTACACTTAATAAAACGTGCCAATCATCTAAGTTTTGGTACTGATAACAAAATAGCAAACAAACACCAGACATCCGTGTCCTTGCCTTTACCTCAGAGGACCTTTGCATGAATAAACTGATCTAATCAAAGAATAAGTCAATAAGACTTTAGTCTGACTAAGAATTCCCCACCAAACTTTTGTACATGACATCTTGATAATTGATGGTGTAGACATAATTCATCTCGTATAAGAATACTGTAGCTGTTGTGTGTACCAGTCCATGAGACACTGAGGCACATCCATTAGTCTAAAATCTGTGCATTTTCTCTTTAATGAGAAGGTTGTTGGTGAGTACTGTGTGATTACAGTTTTAAAAGGCTCTGCTTTGTCATGTGGAACATTTTCAGTGACTTCAGATAAACAGATAATTGAAGCCACAAGAGGAGGAAGGCAGTGACGTGTGAGGGTAGTAATTCTGTCTCAGTGGTCATCTCTGTGCGGGTGAATCACAGTGGAAGACAAACAAGGCCATCAACGGACCCAAAGAGTTTTGTCCCCCCAAAGAACTGATGCGTGTTTTTCTTGTCATGTAACCGATCATGCAGATGAGCGTGGGAGGAAAGTTTGCACAGCTAAGTAAATCAGTCACCATGGCGACTCGCGGTGGTTGGGGTTATTTGTCAGTTTGACTCACTGGTTGGCGTACCAGATAAATGGGTTTTTTGATAATGTGGTCAAGACTCATCGAGACTGACCACCCCCACTAGGTTCACATAGAATTACCAGCAGCGTACAGACAAAAATGTCATAAGGAACCTCCAACACACACAAACGCCCACACACACATTTTTGTGCCGTATGACTGATATTTTTGGATTTGAGCTGAAGTCGATAAGTGAATTGACAGAACATTAATCAGCAACAGTTTTGACAGTCCATTGGATGCAGCTTTTCAAACATGAATATTTGTTGTTTTTCTCAATCATGTATGATACTAAGTATCATTTTATTTCTCTTTATTTTAACAACCAAACAAGGAATGAAAATGATAATCTTCAATTTTTATTGCTTAATCTGTCGATTATCTTTTTGATTAATTGATGAATAGTCATGTAATCTATCAAATGTCAAACATGGTAAAATATGTCCACCACAAGTTCTGAAACCTAAAGGTGACATCTTCAAATGTGTTGTTCTGTCCGACCAACAGTCCAAAACCTAAATACATTCAATTTAAAATAAAACCAGTGGTATCTAAAAACAGCCTAGAACCCAAAGAGATTCAGTTACGATATAAAACAGAGAAAAACATAAAATCCTCACATTTGGGAGGAGAAACAGAAAGAGAAAGGGGTGACGGGTTAGTAGGAGCGTGCGGAGAAACCAATTCTGACACTGTTTGCCTTTTGCAGATCTAATTACCTGCCTGGACAAAGGAACTGATTTCCCAGAGGCAGAGTTCAGGTAAATAATGTTTGCTTTGTGTAGGTATTTGTGCAGTGATCACGCTGTCTGATATTCATTGTGTGTGTGTGTGTGTGTGTGTGTGTGTGTGTGTGTGTGTGTGTGTGTGTGTGTGTGTGTGTGTGTGTGTGTGTGTGTGTGTGTGTGTGTGTGTGTGTGTGTGTGTGTGTGTGTGTGTGTGTGTGTGTGTGTGTGTGTGTGTGTGTGTGTGTGTGTGTCTTCTTAGTAAATACTGTCCAGCCGGCTGCTTGACATCTACTGAGGAGATTTCTGGAACGATACCTAATGGATACAGAGAGGTGAGTAGCCGCAGTGTATGGAAATACATACAGCATGTTTTTTCTTTATTGTGGTAGCCGCTGTGCTCCAGTATAACATTTCCAGTTGAGTCACCGTGCCCAGTGGTCTCCTGCTGTTTGATCACTTTCCCCATTGTTACCCCACAGGATCCACCAGACCATCAGCATTTGCTTACTCATGTTTTCATAGCCTCTTACTGCCGCCACTCTTTACTGTGCTGCAAGTCTGCACATCTTTCCGCTTGGTTCAGTAAGATCTTGTTTGTGTAAACGGGCCCCTGCTCTGTGGTAAGAGAGTCCTGGACTGATGACCTCACAGCACCCCCGCTGTGCGTGAGGTCATGGGCGCCGAGTCTCTGGTTGATGACCTCATGCTCGGAGCGCAGGGGTTCGTTGAAGGCGGGAGGGGAGGGGTGTTGCTGGCTGAAGTGAGGACGGGGAGGAGCGTTGGGGTGTGCTTCAGGGAGTGATATGCCCCACAGGAACAGAGGAGGGGCAGGGTCAGCGGGTGAAAGGGAGGTGAGATAATAATTTGGCCGAAAATAATAACCCTTTAATCCAGTCCAGCTGCAACAGGGCGCTGAGCGTAGCTGTGTGTTGAGTGTGTGTTCTGGAGACACAGAAAGCTCGAGAGTTGAGTCAGTGTGAATGAGGAGTTGGAGAAAACCTCTGGGTGTGCATGCTTAGGTTTTGTGTATGTGTGCTAGTGATTCATTCATACTTGTGTTTTAGGTGTGTGTGTGTGTGTGTGTGTGTGTGTGTGTGTGTGTGTGTGTGTGTCTGTGTCTGTGTGTGTGTGTGTGTGTGTGTGTGTGTCTGTGTGTGTGTGTGTGTGTCTGTGTGTGTGTGTGTGTGTGTGTTTGTCACTAGGCCGTAATGTGGTTACACTGTATCACACAGGGATCAGCTGCCCCACCCAGACCAAACCAAATCTCAAATTTTCAAATCGGTTTCTGGAGTTTCTTACTGTGATCCATGTACTGGTTTCTATCTTTCCACATCTGGCTTATCGTATATCTATGTATGTGTGTGTCATTTCATGTGTTAATGTGGTTTCCTCTGTTGGAGGCAGGGTGCGGCGGTTTGGAGCCGTGCTTTGTGTTCATGTTAGTGGTTTGGTATGGCGCTCTTTAGGATGTGGCGTGTGCTTTTTGGAAGTTTAAGAGTCACGGGGCAAGTGTTGATTACTTGTGGCAGCATTTGACTGCCTTGCACGTGTGTGTATATGTGCTTGTAACTCTGGGCTTTCCCACAATCTTGTCAGCTGTTGATTCCAGTGTGGGTCTTTTCCAGTAATAAAATTCCACCTCAGTCCACCAGCTGTTCACAGAAAGCAGCTTTTGACCAAAGTGTAATTGGGTTTTGTCGATTTCTCAGTGATGTGGTGGCAGGTTTGGACAGGAATGCCGCCGGTAGTGAATCATTACATCAGTATCCTCTCTACAGAGAATTGACATCATGCTGACTCATCAGCCTCAGACTTACAACAAACAAAATCAAATTTTTTAAATCAAAGTAATAGGAATATTTCCGGCTGAATATGAGCGGGTCTGTCTTGTGAGCTAGTTTCCTCCACGATTACAAAACGAATCCAAGGATGTGATTGGATTGTTGAATTTCAAATCAGTAGGGCGACGACAACAACAATTGTCAGTTCATCAGATGTGGTGGAAATTGGCTTTAGTTACTGGCGCTGTTTGTTGCAATGGAAAAAGAAAAGTGTCCCATAATCTCATCTTCCTTTCATCCTGCAGTCCTCTCCTCTGTGTGTGGCAGCCGTCCACGCAGGTGTGGTGTCTAACGCTGAGGGAGGGAGGATCTCCGTGGTCAACAGTAAAGGCATCCCTCACTATGAGGCCACACTGGCTAACAATGTCACGTCCACTGGGTAAGAGCTTTAGGCACTACAGCACACTCACTTTTCAGTCAGTAATTACTAAATTCGCCTTAGAAGGACTGATTGATGTTTAATTGATCCTCTAATCCTACGCATCTCTCCTCAGAGGAACTTTGTCGAACAGCCTCTTCACCTTCAGGACCAGTGGTGAGCTCCTTTGTTTTTTTCTGAAGCGCCATTGGGAGCTGCAATAGTTATGCATAATAAATGCAATTATTATCGTCAGCTGTAATTTTAATTGAGTGTAAACCATGTCTGTAATTATTAATCTGCAGCACCAAATCTGGACTGAATTACCTGTTGCTTTTACACAAACTTATAGTTCATCACCTGACTTGAAAACTCCAATGCAGTTACAGTAATTTACATACAAACATGTTAAAAAAAACAAAAAAACATTAAGGCAACCTGAATCTCATTCAGCTTTTATATTGTCATTGATGGTAAGTGCCTCTCTGTGCTTGCAGGCTGCTACGGAAAGCTGGGTTTGGAGTCTGGTGGTGTGGCGGACACTCAGCTCAATGCTTCCTCTGTGTGGGAGTGGAACGTCATCGGTCAAAACAGTGTGTGGATTCCATCAGGGGCGCGCCTTAAAAAGGCGGGTCTGCCCTGGGCCCCTTCTCAGAGCGACCATAAGCAGTGGCTGCAGATCGATCTCAAGAGGGAGAAGAGGATCACAGGTACATGGCTACATACGTTCATATTCAAACATACACTCACTGAAATCACTGTACAGTGAAACCTCTATCTTTAATTTACCATACCTGTGATTAGAGGTGGGCGATATATATCGTTTGCGATAATATCGTCATTGTTGTTTTGACGATGTGCAAATTTAGATTATCGAGTATTTAAATTACTTCGCCAAAAATATTGAAACGCATGCGGAAACTCCTCACATCCACTTAATACACGGTGCAGCAACGCTCTCTACAGTATGGCAGGATTCAGTCACACGACTAGTGGGCTTACGTGATCACATGATCACCCCTGACCTTTCCCCTTGTGTCACCAGCAGGTCATTTTTGGCTTTTTGTGCAATATCTGAACAGCTGTTGAATGGAATGCTGTGAATTTTTGATTGAATGAATTGTAATCACTTAGTTCATCCCCTGACTTTTCATCACCATCATCAGATCAAAATAGGGGTTTGTGACCAAAAACCTGCAAAACTAACAACATTCCCATCAGCCTCAGCTCTACTTTGTGCTTAAAGATGGGGGGTCAGCCATTCTGGAGTCTCATTCCCAGGTCGTCAAATCTTCTGCTGTCTGTTCATCTAGGTATCATCACCACTGGATCTACCCTACGAGAATACCAGTACTATGTTTCAGCATACCGGGTCCTGTACAGTAACAATGGACAGGAGTGGCACATCTACAGGGAAGCAAATTCCACACAAGACAAGGTAATACAATAACCAAATCAATAAAACTCTGCCTGCTCAACAATTACGTCACTGGCTTTTTTCCTTCAAATCAGTGCAAATGGACAAAAATGTCACTTTAGAAGGCTGCAGGGACATGTACTTGGACTGTTTCCATAGCAACTGCTATTGACTAAGAGATGTTTATGGCAGGAAGTGAGGGCCGTCAGTGGTTTGAGTTAAGTGCTGTGGTAGACAAGTCAGGACACTTGGGCATTAATAATGAATGGATATGGATTTACTGGCTGGGATGTTCGACTGGAACTGCTGTCTACGAGCTGCTCTCTGCTGGGATTCTCACAGGGTCTCATTGTGTGGAGGAGTGCAGTTATTAGCTTGCCAAGTTTGAAAATAATCAGCTTATGGCTTCTAATGCATTTGTTCACAACACAAATTGCTATGTTGAACTTTTTTTCTTCGAAACTGCTACTCCCTGGCTCTATTTGTATTAATTGGCGTAAGTAAGAGCGTTTGTTTTAATTTTCCGGTAGGTGTTCCAAGGCAACATCAACTACCTGCATGAGGTGAGGAATAACTTCATTCCTCCAATCGAGGCCCGCTTCGTGAGGATAAATCCAACCCTATGGCAACAGAGAATCGCGCTCAAGTTGGAGCTGCTTGGCTGCCAAATTCACGCAAGTAGGTGGAAGGAGGTTCATTCAAATGTCCCGTAAAAAGGAGAATCAGAAGTTCTAATTCAATTCAGAATTTTCTCTTCTAAAAATGTGATATTTTTCTTGACAGCGAGGCCAGGGCCGAGGATGGTTCACCCCGTTCATCATCCTGCACCTCCAGCGGGTACAAGACGCCCACCTCACCTTGGTCAAACCACACACACCCCAGAGATCAGAAACACTACTATGCCTCCTCACACCGGCAAAGGTGTGTATTTTTGTGCCAAAAAAAAGTTAGTTAAAAGAGACGTTTGTCATCCGGTGTTTACTGTAGTATTTTTGCTCTCAGATGTGGCGCTGGCTGCAGTTCTGGTTCCCGTGTTGGTCATGGTTCTGACTGCTATCATCTTGATTGTGGTTTGTGCCTGGCACTGGAGGAACAGGTATGGCCTCTCATTATCATGCATAGGAAAAACTAATCCCCTACTAATCCCCTTTGAAAACGTGACTGTATTGTTCTCTCTTCTTAGGAAAAAGAGCTCTGAAGGAACATACGATCTCCCTCACTGGGATCGCACAGGTATATAATCTCTCTGTAGCACAGACTGATAGGGCCTGCATGTGTATAACTGAGAGTGTGCCAGTGCAACTCACAGTGCGTCTCATTGTGCTTCTGCTGCAGATTGGTGGAAGAGCATGAAGCAGCTGTTGCCCTCTAAGGTGGTGGACACTGAGGACTCAGTTCGGTACAGCAGCAGCGAGGTGGGCCGGCTTACTGGGAGAGGTGCCGTACCCAGACTACATGCCGAACCTGCAGGTAAACAACGTTCCAAGACAAAGTAACAGAGTGTTCTTTCTTACTGCAAGCAACTTGTTTGGTGGTTTGCTGTGTTCAGACAAGTTGGGTTTCTTGAGAGATGCATCCGGTGTCTTAAGTTAAGTTTTAAATGTTAAAAAACAATTTTTATGATGTAATTACATTCAGTGCCTGTCATTGAAATGTAGTTTGAGTGTCCTCATGGCACAACAAACTCGTTTCCTGCCTTGCAAAACCTTTACTTTGAATATTGTGAAATCTGCTTTTTTACACCAGCTTGTGCTCCCCTTTTTCTCCTCCTTTATTGCAGCAATTCTTCCCTTTTTTACAGGACATTACAGCCACTAACAGTTGTAGATAGAATTACGTGAAAACATGCAGTGTCAGTGTAAATTATGTATGGTTTGCTTTAGTATTTCCTTTTTGTAATGTCTCATCACTTATCATCGAAAAGTCAAATCATCTTCACAGCAAGTCTTTGCAGCAAGTGTAAATGCAATAAAGAAGACAAGATATCCTTGGTTATTAACACACTGTGACGCTCTCTTTCAGAATATGCTCAGCCCCTGGTGAGTGGTGTTACAACATTAGGTGCCCGGTCAACCTTTAAACCAGACGAGGGGCCCGACCCAGGATACTCAGATCCTGACCTGTACGACGCTCCCATCTCACCGGACGTATACCACGCCTACGCAGAACCACTGCCGGCTTCGGGATCTGAATACGCTACACCCATTGTGGTCGATATGGGTTGCCACCCATCAGGGGGCTCCTCTTTGAACCAGCCCTCCACAGTGTGTAGCTTCATGGGCGCTGGGCCGGCCTCCCTGCACACACGGACAGACAGCAGCCATTCGGGGAGGTCGGCTTACGACACGCCCAAGAACGCCACTGGACAGGTCACGCCCACTGAGGATCTGACCTATCAGGTACCTCAGAGTAGCACTCAGAAGCCAACGGGACAGAGCTGAAGAGTCTGGATGCACATGGCCTTAACCTGCCCCCCCCTCTCCCCTCCCCTCTCCCCTCACTGCCAACGCAACCCAATGGACAAAGATGCAGAGGTTGTTTAAGGAGGAGGAGGAGGAGGAGGTGTGAACCTGTGAGCCCTGGAGCCTGGGCTTGAGTCTTGAATGAACACTACCTTAGCTTTAGATTCATCCGGAGATGTCTGTATTGCCTAAATGTTTCTGCATGGCCAAAAATCTGCTTGTGTAGTGCCATTACAGTCCTATCACTGAAACCACAACAATGAATGTGTTCGTGCCAGGTGTGAGAGGTGGAGATGGATGGATGGATGGATGAAAAGGAGAAAGCTGACTACTATTTGATAAAGACTTTGTCCCTGTTCTGTGATCCTTAGTAGTTCTTGCATTCTATGAAACTGTGATTTCCATTATTTCATTATTATCCTGTTACATACTGAACCAGGTTTATCTGCAATGTGCCTGATGATTTCCATTCAGAAATCTAACTGAATGAATTGCATGTCGCATCAAGTACCCCACATCCAAGGTCAAAGAATTCCTCCTTCCTAGAGAAACTCTAGCTTACCATGGTACGTTTTGTCTTACTTCGTTTAAAAAGCATGACTTGAAATTGTGTATAGTTCTAGTAATTCCATTACTGCAAACCTGTTCAAACTCTCAGATGATTTACTGATATTTATTTTTATTTTCACATCCTGCTGATGAGGAGAAACTCTTTTAATTAAAAAAAAATAGCCCACCACTACCCCTCACTGATTACAGATCAAAGAATTGTGGTTGCACTGTTGTGAACAAATTACTGACAGTTAAGTAGTCTCTCATTAAACTTGTCAGAGGTTTTGCATTTATTAACTTTAAAAAAGGCTGATTTGATTCCAGTGAACTCCCCAAAGAGAAAAAACTTTTTGTAACGTCAAAGACCAAATGTTGCCTTTTTTTCTGTTTATGCAATGTTAATTCACAACAGAGCCAACTTTCACAACTGTGCCAACAAGTTTAACCAAATAAACATTAAAGCAGTCTTAATGTAGGAAAAAAAAGATTTTATAGCCCTAGTTAGCTGATGATGTCCTAGCAAAAAGGTACAGAGAAAAGAGGTAGATGGGTAAATCTGTTACAGCTGATGATTTCGTAGAGTTTCCTGTGTGTTTGTCATGAACTTTTAGATTATTTGCGCGTCGTGGTGATTGTCTCGTTGAAATTGGCGTTTGAGCTGTTCCTCCCTTGTATCTATGTGCTTCAACAATCTGTATGTGTGGTAGGCCATTTTCCATACTTCAGTCCTGTGTGTTTGTGTGTTTCGGACTGGTTTTGATGTGGCTTGTTATAATTGTAGTAGGGTGTGTTCAGTCATTGTCTGTAGCACCGGTAGACTGCATTCCTCTCCTATCCACCTGTGGTACTAATCCGACCTAACGCTCTGTGGCAAGAGGGCAGATGGAGAAAAATGGAACAAGCTGCTTTATAACATTGAAAGAATAACGACCTTGCCCGGGGAAGGTGCTATTCACACAGCTGTGCCACCAATCATGCTTTGATTATGCTCAATAATCAATGCAATCTACGCAGAGTTCTGGTGCTCCCTGGTCACAGAGGGATTGTGTTTATGTGGCTCTCACTGATTGTATATAGAGAAATAAAGAGTTTTAAAAGGAAAATGTTTTATTACAATCTTTAGCGGTCATCAAAACAACACAATATTCTACACCATAAGGTGTGTGTGTACATACGTGTAGCTGACATTTACAGATTTCACAGTTATAATTCAAGCACAGAAAATTGTAGTTTGATAATTAAGCATCTTTTCCTCAATCAGTTGTTAAGATGATGAATTTGAGTCTTTTGGTCCAGACTGACATATCTCAGCTGGATGGAGTTTTGAACAGACATTCATGGTTTCACACATTCAAACACATTCACGTCCACCTCGGGATGAATTGAAATAATCTTGGTAATCCCCTGATTTCAATCTGTGACTGCATGCCTACAAACCAGTGACATTCCCATCAGCCTCAGTTGCACTTTGTGTAGAGTGCTAACTGACAAATGTTACCATGCTAACACTACTGTGCCTAAGTACAGCCTCACAGAGCTTGGCTGTCTTATAATGTATAATAGCATCATTCTTAGCATCTGTGGGTCCATATAGGAACATGAACATTGGAACAACACTAGCTGCACTGGCTAACCTTAAGAATGTTGTAATTAAAAACCTTTATACCTTTTATTTAATCTTCAGAATCAGTGTTACAGGGTTTGTCTGTATTTTATGATACACTTTTTAAAGTGTAGTTATTCGTTATTCAACCCTAGTGGCTGTTCTTGTAATGTTAAACATAATTATTATAATAAATAAACAGCACATGAACAAAATGCATCAAGTAAAATCAACATGTAAAGAAAGCTTGAAGCCTGAGCTAACACACCCTGCTTTCAGTGGGTTGTTCAGAGCAACATCATCCCAATAAAAACCATAACACATGTGGGTCATTTAGTTGATAGGGAACGTAATTTTCCAGATGTCAAACTTAATTCTTCATTGGTTTCCCAACACATGCTGCTGTGGGATTGTACCAAATGAGTATCTTTTCCTTAACCATCGTTCGCTTGCGTCAATGTTCTTGTCGGCGATGATCTAAAAGCAGCACAACAAATTACCACTTTTCAGCTGCTTGTTTTTTTTTTTACCATCCCAGAGCACGTTTTCACCCTTTATTCCTCCATGTTCTTCCCATTCTTTCCAAACTTCCACCAAAACACAGTGAGGATGACTGCTATCAGTAGGATCAGGCTGCTGGTTACTAGGTACGCAATGGGCAGGAAATGGTTCTGACCTCCAAACCAGGTCAGCGTGGTCAGCACCACTTCCTTTCTGCCTCGGAAGTACTGCACAGGGAAGTCTGGAAGGGCAGAGGTCAAGGCTGAAAATAGGTGATTGCAGAGAGAATCTGAATGGAAAAGACCAGCCTGTAGTCTTAAAATAGTCTCTGTGCTTATGCTTGTGTTTAATGGTTTAACAGCAGGTAAAAAAAAAGGTAACAACAACAGGACAACCTACTTTAACCCACGCCCAAGTTCCCATGTAAAACACAGCGGTGAAAGGATACTGTAGGATATGTCGATGCTGTAATTCCCTGCTGGCAGACCCTTAGTGAAGGGCTCCTCGGCTCGGTATAAAACCCCATAGAGCTTCTTGAAGTTGGGGAAGGCTGCCTCTCTCATCCACACAATCAGGTCATCATTGATGAAGCCATTGTTGGTCGGGTCGAGGGTATCGAGCTCGTACACAGGCTTGTGCCAGTACAGAGGCCGTGCTGTGCCTATGCAGAGATCACAAATCGACACCATGAATTTACCCGACTAAAAACTGAAACCCTGATTCTGCGCTTGATCGACGTTACCTTCAAACACTTGAGCCAGCGTCAAGTTGTCTGTCTTTGGGTTGCGGAACTTGACGTTTTTGTCCGTATACCAGGTGATGCCCCCCCGTAGCAGAGGGACTACAACTCGAGGACCACTGGAGCCACGATACAGAGTGAAGGAGTCTGGGAGAACGGATGTGAGTAAAGAGGCCAGTGAGAGGAAGGTGGAGGTTGGATGTCATGAGCGATGATGTGTGTTATGAATGGCGCTTACCATTGAAGATACTGTTGGCGACAGCACCACAGGGGGCGATGGGGAGTCCATTCTGGTCTTTTGTGAACGGACTGCAGTATGAACTGGGGTTCTGTTCAGGAAACAAGATTAATGGAGAAACTCAAGATTATTGAACAATGCAAAATAAACATCAAAGCAGTGGTGTACTTTTGTTATCAAATACTGTACATTTTAAGGTACTTGCATATTTTTTTATATTTATGTAATTAGATATAATTACATAATAATTTTATTTCACATTTCAGTGGAAGAAATTGTGCTTTTTACTTTACATTAATGTGACAGCTGTAGTTAATGGTTACTTTGGAGATTCAGGTTTTACATGCAAAACACATGATAAGTTCACAAAATAGGATTTTTCATTATACTACCCAACAGTATATGCAGTTTCTAAAATTAGCTTCACCCCCCACCAATCAGTCAACAATATTATACAATAATTTACCACTGAGGGGCCATTCTGCCGCATAAATATTACTTTTAATTTTGTACACTTTGCTGTACTTTTATTAGAGTGTGCATGACTGAGCGTTTTTACACTACTGCTACTACTTTAACGTAAAACACCTGATATTTTGTCCACCACTCCATCAAAAGGTGAACGAAGCAGTGTACCATTTCAGTTTCTAACCAGCTATCTAGGGACAAAAAGGGGCATTTGTTGCAGTATTTTATGTCAGTGTAAAAAGTGTTATGCGTAACTGTGATAAACGTTAAAAATACAAAATATTGTGGAGCTACCTTTAACTTTCTCTTCCTGCCAACCATCTGTCCATCATCTCTAGAGTCCATGTATCTGCGGAGGTTCTGGTGGAAGTTTTGGAGGCCATAGTAGAAAAAGACATCTCCCTGGAACAGAAGGATACAAATCATCAGCGTAGGTGTACAAACAGACTGCTAGGCTTAATTCTGTCTTTAAGCTTTACAGCATGGACGAGAAATGAAAGCAGTGGGGAATGGAGCATGTTGAATATTGAGTGTGAAAGTTCATTCTTAAGCTTTGATATGGTAGTCTGACAAAATAATCTTAACTCAAAGTCCACTTGCAGGCTTTTTTAAAGCTTTCAACCGTTCCTGTGTTCTGTATAAAGAAACCTGTAAGTGACCTCAGGTTGAGACTGGTTTGTCGCACTGTGCTGTCAGGCTTAGTGACTGTTACCTTGAATCGTTTGTCAATGGAAAACACCACCGTGCAGCTGCAGGTTTGTGCTGCGTTGCTCACATTTTTTCGCTTTTCAAAACATATATTACATGTCCCGGCCTCTGTGTAGTCCAGCTGAGAAGACAGGAGAGAGTTCATGAAAGAGTAGAATAAATTGTGAATAAACTGTTCCTGTTTACCTGACTCAGAGCACAACCTTGGATCTTTCCTCTCTTTGTCACTCCCTTTTTTATTGCACACAAGGGCAATCGGTCTCTTCCTTTCTCTGTCTGTCTCTCTCTCTCTCTCACACACACACAAACACTTTGTACATTATGTATTTTACTCCATTTACACATATAAAGAACTTAGATAAATAAGCATGTGTAGTTTCCAGAAACACTCACTCACCTTTATTTCCTGTGTGCTCTGCACTGTGAGAAGCAGCCATACTCCCAGCAGCATGCATATCAAAGCCATAAAGTAGAAGAATGGCAGCACAGTGTTAGCTGTTAGCATGGGAGACCAGGCAGGTAGCCTCTGCTGTTTGAAAGCCGAGTTGTCTGGCCTCCGAGCCAAGGGCCCGGACTTGCCCTTCACTTTGCCCATGAGGGGGGACCTTCGGTTGGGGACAGAAGAGGAAGTTGTACAGCTGGAGAGCCAAAAAGTGTGTCAGAGACGGCGCTGCTCTATCTTCTCTTCCTGTTCTTTATTTCAGCGATATCTCTCTGCACGCACACACACAACTCTACTTGCCAAGAGATTTTCCCAGCAGGCCTTGCAGGGTGGGGGAGACCGTTGTGGCCTGTTACTTATTAACCACAATCCTTTACTTAACTACCTCTTTCTGTTTTGTTCTTCTTTACTGCTTCTTTACTCGGAGACAAACACAGCTTTCTGTTTATTCACATCAAAACGACACAGGGGTGTGTTTGATATATTTATTCTAATTTGCTGTAGGAGATATTCTGTTAATTCCATGCCCCGTTCGTGCTGCCTTAAAAACGCTTTATCAAAGGATGTTATGATAAATGTGACTTCCTAGTGTGCAAGTAAACTAATGACCTCACATTCTCAGTAGGAGGGACTTCCCAAGGTCAGACTAAACAAACAGAAGGATGCTGGTTTCATTCTGAGTCCTTTTATTCAATCCATCACGCTGGGACATCGCGTTGGACTACAAGAGTGAAAAAACAACACCGCACATTTGACACGGCCTCTGAAAATAGTAAAAAGCACAGCACAGATTTCACACAGACACAATGGGGAAAACAAACAGGATGAGGCCCCTTCAGCATGTTGTGAGGAACATCAGTATGTAGCCTTAAACATCAAGGCTTCGCATGGATTATCAGCACACAGCAACGTTTACAATGTGCAGTTAAAACAGTCCAATTTTGACTTTGTCTTCTTTGCAGCCATTCAGGACACCACTCTCCAGCAGCTTCATGAAGTCCAGCTTGACCTGGAACAGACATGTACATATGATTTGTAACACTGAGATAAATAGTTGCTAGAAGATTTTAAAAAATGCTCTGCTTTGAATAACAATCAGTGTCCTATACGCTTTTTCAAGTTCAATAATCTTGTAAAAAAATCTCAAATCTGCCGCTCCTCCCTCACTGAGTATGGAATTATCTGGAAGTATCAGTGAATATGCAAATGATGTTCATTCTGCACAGTGAAGCTCAAACATCCAAGTGAAGTAACAATAAAAAAAAACTATTTTTTTAATGGAGGTAGGATTTAAATATCCTCAACTACTTGATAAAATCATGACGATTGTAATGATCCTCTCAGCCCAGCAGGGAGCAGTAGCTCACCTCAGGAATGTCCACCATCCTCCGGAGCTTCTGGTCCCTCCAGTTCCAGTCCAGAACCATGTATCGCAACGCCTTCAAGTTCAAACCCTCTGGAGAAAAATAGGAGATTTCACAGAATAAGAAGACCTCAACCACTTTGCAGTATACCAGTAGCAATGTCAGGCCCACGCGTACCTTTCTCAATGAGCGCATTGATCCTGCCAGGTGTCCCTACTCCAATGTGGGTGACGCCCTTTTGCAGCAGCTTCACCTGCTCCTCTATCTGTACAGACAAAATATACACAAAGAAAGCTGTTGAGGAAACTATTGTGCACATACCTCATGTATTGTAACGAACCGTCATCTCTAGTACCTTGATATGTTTCGCAAATAGTTTTATGGCTTTGGCTCCACCCTTGAAGGCTGTCAGCTGCCTGAGAATGAAACAAACAGCACTTATGTAAATATACAGTTAAAGAGTTGTAACGTAGGAAATTCAACAAAGGCCAGGGGTGTGTCGCTCACTTGATGAGCTCAATGGTTCGGAGAGCAGAGCTACAGACGATGAGCAGGACCACGGAACTCATTTCTGTATGCTGCTTCTGAATCTTGGCCCACTTGGGACAAACTAGGAACAACAGGAAAAAGAGGGAATAAGAATGAGTTCAAAAGTGAACAGCTAATGGAAGATTTTAGTTTAGAACGCCACTCACCCTGTTTTAGGTACGAGGAGAGGGTGTGTGTTAAGTCATTACTGGACAGGAAGCAGGAGTCTGGAAGATGCGGAGGGGCAGAGGGTGACCTTGGTGAATCGACACATCAGCAGATATTGACTTAAGTTCAAAGTTAAAGGGGGCTTTGCCCTCACTCACCCAGCAGTTTGAGCTCCTCCTGCTCGATCACAGAGCGCTTGTCTGAAAAGTACTGCGTGACCAGGTTCTGCAGGTCTGCCGAACAGCCTGGTTTGGGCTCCGAAGAGGACAATACATCTGTAATCGTCTTCTTCTTCTTCTGGCAGACAAAATATAGTGATGTAAAGTAATGTTCACAGACGAAGCCCCAGTGACTGTTGTCCCTCTTTGCAACAGCAGGTGTCACCACACTCACCTTCCTCTTCTTCTTGGGTTTAGTTGACTTTTCATCCTCAGTCTCTTTCTTCTGAGGAATAATACACTCTTTCTGTGAAAACAATACATGTAATTCAGACAAGGTACTTCTATATGATATATATTAACCAGTGTTTTAAATACGTTTTATATTATGAACCTAAATTGATCTGTAATAATTTGTCAAAAGAGTAATATCAGAAATAAGAAGTTACAATCTTTGTAACACGTCATTTATTATACTACAGTCAATGATTATTTTCACTATTAATCACGTTGAGAATTTTTGACATTTCTGCTTGAAAATGACGTTTCATTAGTTATCAAAAGGGTTGGCTATTAATTTTTTTTGTCATCCAGTCCAATACATCACATTGGTTTATTACACACTGATTTTATTCCGTCTCTACTAGACACACAGCATTACAGGTAGTGAAATTAATTTGATACATTTCCTGATAACAGAAGAATATCCTGGAAATTTCAACGGAGTGGGTCTGAAGAATTTTTTTTCTGTGTGTACCGTAAAATACCTGATCGTTCTTTTTCTTCTTCTTGGCCTTGAGTGTGTTCTCCGTTACCCTCTTCCTCTTCTCTGGTTGTGTCTGTGTGCTTGGTTTTTCTGTTGGCTGCTTCTCTTGCGTCTCCTCCTCTGCCTCAGATGCATCTGAGAAAAATAGGGGAACATTTCCCTCATTACAATTCTGAATTTATAGGTTCATTTACAACTGGGAGTAGTGCAAGATAAAGAAACTATTAAGATGAGGCAACACGGAGCTACAAACACATCAGGTAAGCCCGAATAAGGCTTTGCCAATAACTGATATGCCTAACCGCCATGAGGAAATACTCCCCGTGGATAGAAGCTTATGAATCCGCTTTTCCACAGTTTCGGACTGTGTAGGTCGCTCATCAGGTGGGAGAGTCCCGGCAGCACATTTCAGTCACTACAGAAAAGCAGAAATACACAAACTTCCCTTGAGATAACAACAATGCAGCAGACCTCAAGCCAAGCATCTGGTTATATTTAGCCTCTCCATTGCTACCACTTCTCTGTGCATACCTCTCTTCTCATGCTATGAGGTCATGCTTAGACCCTCTGGCATACTTACATGCTTGTTCAAAATACTTTAACTTTAAAAACAGATGCCAGAGTGAACTTGGCAATAAATGTGTGGGTTTCATTGTAACGTCCTTCCTGATGTTTTTACCAACACTTTTGCAGTTCTCCCTGTGGACCTTCAATATCGAAGAACAGACAGGTTGACATCGCCTCTATTTCTTATTGAGTGGCTGAGGATGAAATGTGTCATGTATCTTTAAGAGCCGAAGTTTGAGTGTGGTGATGTCCGACTACTTCAGAGAAATCTGCTCATGTGTAGCTGTATGGGATTTCAAGCATGTTGTACTTCTCACCAGTAGCATCAAAACAGGTATTATAGCATTAACCACTAATGCAAAACACCTGCTGTGAACTCACTGATTTAAGGAGGATGATTTAAAAGTAAGCTCAACAATATAGAGACATAGGATGTAGCACAAACAACATTAAAAGATCATTTCATCAATTGGGAAAGATCTAAATACATGTATCATGTTAACTTGTAGTGATCCCATTAACGGTTGCTGTGAGGATCAGTCCAAAAGAACATCATAACAGCACTGACAAATCAGTACGGATATTATGTTAACAAGAAGCTTTTGAGATCAAATTTGGCATTGAGACCAAAGGGGTTTTTAACTGGTAGATCTAGTAAGATACCTTAATACCTTGACCTCTTCTCGGGAGATAAACCTTTTCATTGCACCGATGAAACAGGAAGATTCTTTTCCAAGGCTGGCTGCAGGCTGAGAGGAAATTCATACCTCTACATGTAATATTACCACGATGCTGCGAGATGGTACACATCTTGTAATACGACAACATCTCCTACCCAACGTCTGCAAAGCCACCACTGCTGGCAATTAATATCCAATTTTAACACTAATACTGTCATTATTATTAAAGATTCAGTTCATTTAAGAAGGAGCTATACACAGGTTTGTTTGTTTCTGGTTTTACTTTTTAACAAACTGCTCCAAATACATAACACTACATAAGAAGCTAATTTAGGCTGTTTAAATGGTGTGATACAAGCCTAACAGAGGGGGTAACCATGCGTGAACACTCCTGAGTCGGAATAACGGGAGGTTTTCCTATTCTTCCCATCCTGCTGACACTGTGTGCATGCAGCATCATTTTGTGTGTGTAGCATACTGAAGCAACACTTCAAAACAAATGATCCTATTACACCTATGAGAGCTCAATACAACACAGTGATGAACAACACTTGAACATATGTCTGACCAGCCACAGTGCGGCTACAGGCCAAGAGTGCTCCCAAAAGTAACACCACCTGACACCCAATTTCCCGCCTCGTCCCCGTCCTAATTTCCCATCCCACGATCCGATTCATCCAATTTTCATTATCACGCCCTCCTCACATTGTTGTGTTTTTTTTCCCTCTACAACTCTTCCTCAGGGACATTATAGTGGAGGTCCACATCAAAAGACAATATGAAGGATGGATGAGAGACCTCAGTCTGCTCATGCGCTCCTATTTCCCCTTGCAGGTCCTTTTCTGTTCATCATTCCATAACCACACCCCTTCTCCACTTCATCCCTCACTCAAAGACCATCATCCTTATTTGTTACAGTCATCTGTCCAGGCATACAGTCCGCCTGCTGGAAGACCACCCCCATTATTGATGGGCAAACCAGTCCCCTCTCTTTCTCTCTCTCTCTCTGCTTGTACTCATTGCTTTCTCACTCTGGACTGTTGGAAGGAAAGTGAGGACACACAGGTGCCAAACATTAGGGAACAGAGGGCATGGGGAAGAAGGAAGACTAATTACCAAGGTGAGGAGGACGGGCCTATGTATGACCAGTGAGCGGTCCAGGTCCACCTGTCCTGCAGCAGGTAAGTGTTTTTTCTCAGCTAGTGCTGGTATTCACCAGTAGGATCTGACTCTTGTTTACTTTACTCATGTTTACCAAAGAGGAGCGCTTTGTAATAACATGGTACCGATCAACTGTCCTAAA